AGCTGTTACAGAAAAGGAAGAGGAAAAATACACATATTATGGAGGTCAATGGGGAGGAGCCCAGAACAAAGGCTGAATACACTGATGAGTAAAGACAATTAATGTTTATGAATGGCTCTCTTCTTAAAATACTATTTCTGTTCCTCTGGGAAGTGCCCAAGTACTTCAAATCAGCCTTTAGTAGTTCCTCTTTGGAGCCACAATTGAGCCGTCCATTTCTGTACAGAAAAAAGCTTAAATGTGGGCATGTGAAGAAACTGGAGGCTAAGTCCACAAAATAAGAAGTTCCTTATCCTGACAGGCCACAACCATGTTATTCATCTTATTTAATGGAAAGCACTCATACTGTTATGTGCGTGTGGAATAAAAGCCTACATAGAACAGAATAAAGATCACTTGAACAGTGACAGCATTACTTCATTTAAGCCTTTTTGAAAGACTCCTCTGACATCTTGGTATGGGTCAAAGGGAGCGGCTACAGACTGCGGAACGAACAACACTACCTAGCCAGAAATTAATTCCCCAGGCCTGGTCTACACTAGACCAAGACGACTGGCTTAAGGTAAACAAATCCAGCTATGCAAAATGCTCCCATTAGCTTCTCTTACTCCTCACAAAAGGAAGAGTACTACTGGGCACCGATGGGAGCTGCCCTGAATGTTTAATATAGCAGGGCTATACTAGACCTGCCAAATCAAATACCAGGCAATCCATCTCCAGAGCATCGATTTTCTGGTAAGTATAGACATGCCCCTATGAAAAAAGGAAATATGAAGCAAACGTAAAAAGGAGACAATATAAGTTCAGAAGGAAGAAGTTGAGAAGTTTTTCTCTGCTATGTAGTGTAGGAAGTTAGATTGTCTGCGGAGTGTCTGTTCAAGCTGCCAGGAAACAGAACAAACTACAGGTTTCCCAGAATAGGTGGGGGAAAAGCCCTTCCCTAGAGCTAGTAGGTCTAGTTCTACTTTGAGGAAAAATTATTATTTCGAATTGCAAGACTGAATGGTAGTCAGATGCTAACATGATGGGCAAAATAGAAGAACCTAAGATAGTTAAAGCTAGAGATAAATAGGATATGAAACAGATCTTAAAGCTCATTTTGTTCTTTTCACAAGACAAATTGGAATTATCTTGCTAATTTATCTAAAATGCTTAGCAATCCTTTAATTAATGCCAGAGAGACCCAAACTTAACTTGGGAGAAGGAAGAAAAAGGGAAAAGAGATAGGCCCATGTTCCAAGTGCTTAAAAATTCCAATCATCCTCCAGTAAGTTTGTCCTCGATTGATCATAAGCAGATGATTCTCTTATAAACACATAGTATTTAAAATAGTAACAAAAGCTGATAATACAGCTCAGTTTTCAGGTAGCAAAGACCAACATGGTAAGAAAGGCAGTTTTCACATTCCAGAAATTAAACTGTCTTGGGGAAAAGCGAGAAAAAAGCATCAAATAAATTTTCCAAAGACTAGCTCGAGGGCTCTCAATCTGGATGACCTTTTCTTAAACAAGCTGTAAAACACATCTCAGCATTCACAGTGCATCTGTAACTATCCTACATCATGTGCTTAAGGGGTAAAGATGGACAGATTTTCTATAGGGAAAACCTCATTGTTTCATCAGCAAACAACAGTGCCACTTTACTAGAAATGGGTAATGCAGCAAACATGATTTTTCTTAATATGGTGTGTGTTAACTTTCAGACAATTCTTTTAATGTTGCTGATTATCTGTAGCTTTATTTTATCTGCTACATTTGAGACCGTTGGTCGTATTACACAAAAATTGACCATTTACCAAAACAAAAAACAAAGCAAAACAAAAAAAATCCAAGGCTTGGTTAATCAAGACTTTTCACACAAAAGAAAGAAAATATTAAATACAGCTGCATAGGAGATACTATTTTTTGAAATAGACAACCCAGAATTTCTATTTTCTTCCAGGGGAAAGGACAAAAACAAAAAAAGACTTACAGTGGTTCTAATATTACATGCTGATGTATAAACCATTTATATCAGTGGTCACTGCTCCTTCGGTTGAGATGATGTCGTCACAGGTGATCCTGACTGGTTTGGTTGGGAGCCTATCAAACACCAGCACTTCAACTGCCACTCCCCCACTGCCATGCTGTTTCTGTCCCCAGTCTTACAGTTGCCCCGGAAGTCACCTGCTTGCTATGCAGGGTGGGAAAGGCTGAAGAGGGGAATGCTGATGTCAGGGTGTCCACAGAGAGGAGGAACATGACAGGGCTAGGAATGGAGGAAGTTTGCTCGCAGCTGATCCTCTGTCTGAACATGCACAGCATATTTAAAGGGATAGTGTTAATCTGTAACTCACACAGTATGTGATCATCAGTCTCACACAAATACAATATCACACTCATCTCCCAACACAACACATGCTTGTGGTGTTGTTATTGTTACTTCTTTTACCTCTTTCAAAGTATGTTATTTTAAGTTTTTTATTGGCCTATGAATTTCATAATTTTTTTCTCTCTTATGATTCAATTCTTTGAGTAATGAGTTCTAAAATGCCTATCCTGTCATGACTGGAGTAATAATCTCTGCGGTAATCAGAGCAAATGGGAAGTGTGGGGGCAGTGCCTGTAGACAGGGGCAGCACACGGCGCCCCTGCCCCTTCCCCCTCTTCCCCACTGAAATCACTGCTGGACATACTGACCCCTTTCGGGATCCAGGGCAGGGACGAGCCTGTCTTAGCACCACTGCACCACCATACAGTAAGTGGTGCTCAGCCAGAGGCTGCATTCTGAACCCTTGCCCCGGTCCTGAACCCTCACTAGCACCAGTCTTGAGCCCCTTCTATACCCAAACTCCCTCCCAGAGCCTGAACCCTCTCCTGCACCTCAACCTCCAGCCCCGGACTCAGCTCAGAGCCACTCCCACATTCTGAATTCCTCAGCCCAAGACTAGAACCTGCACCACTTTGCACCTCAAACTCCTGTCCCAAACTGGTGAAAATGAGTGAGGATGGGGGAGGAACGGAGCATGAAATGAGCAGGGCAGGAGGCAGGCCAAAGGTATTTGGGTTTGTGGTAGATCGTGGATTGCACTTAAATTCAAAAAATGATCTTGAGCTTAAAAAGGCTGGAGACCACCAATTTAAATGACATGAAAGTACCCAACCTATCAAGACATAGGACTCACTAGCTCTCTACTAATCAGATGTTAACCTCTATAGCCACTTCCCAGGTTCAGCTGAACTTCTAGATTTCTTGGCCCATCGGTGCTCAAGGAGCCCATGACTATCCATCTCCTCTCACTTCATGTGTCTACCATAACAGGAAAATTTGGTTCCTCAATCAAAGGCAGCCAATTTTGCCCATATCCCAGCCTTTAAGAGAAGATTTATGCTCAGTCATAACAAAAAGGAAGCAATCTGGTCTGGCAACATCTGTGGTCTGGCATAATTTTAGTTAGCAGATGTCCACTTATGGGTGTGGCCAAGTTTCCCCACAGTCCTACAAAGTTTGTTTACAGCTACCAGCCCTGCCTCTCAGTGCTCTGTGCTGTTAATTAGCTCTACTGTACCCCCTAAATGTTTATTATGAGTCTTGCCCAGTAAACAGTAGAAGTGTTGGTGATGCTGCTAGACCATGGGTTCCCAAACTGGGGGGCATGGAGAAATTCCGGGAGGGGGGCACAAGGCAACCTAGTTCCACACACCCCCGTCAATCCCACCCCAAGTTTTGCTGCTATTTGGGGGGGGGGGGGGGGGACATGAGGGTTTCTCAAAAATCAAAAAGGGGGCATGATGCCAAAAAGCTTGGGAACCATTGTGCTAGACAATACTGACCTCCTGTGCTTCAGCAAATTCTCTGGTTCAGCACCAGTTGGGTTCCAAGATTGCAAGACTAGAGAAGTTTAATCTGTAGTAGAAAGATATTGCCAAGATACTACAGCTTGTCTGTACTTGACACTACAGCAGCATAACTGTGGCACTTCAGTGTAGACACCTCCAACGCCATCTGAAGGAGTTCACTTGTCAGTTTAGATAGTCCACATCCCTGAGAGATGGTAACTAGGTACATGGAAAACCTCTTATATCAATCTAGCACTGTTTACATGTGGCTGAACTATGATACTCATGACTACAACATAGCTGATTCAATCTAACTTTTTAGTGTAGACCAGACTCTAGAGATACAGGGTTTCTATCAGGGCTAGTAGGACAGAAGAAAATCTTGTATTTAAATAATACCATTGAATAAAAGTCATCCTCTAACATGGCAAGAATTGTAGACTTTTTTATTGCAGTAATGATATTTAAAGTGGATCACCACTATTGCAGGGGGAAGGGTCATTTCTCCCACCCTTATTTCAAAATATGCATCCTAATTCTGGAAAATTCTCAAAAGGTAGGTTACACAAGCAATACAGTTTTTGTTTGAAAAATCCTATAATAAACGCAGTATTTTTGGGATTCCTTTCAGATCTATGCATACGTGTCACTTTCCTGCTACTTTGCTTATCTAATGCCATGAACAAAAGATCTACAATAATGCTACATGGTAAAGCAATCAATCAAAAGCAGTATATCAATCTATTTCAGTACTCTGCACAGGGAAGAAAGAAAGCAACCTGTATAAACTCATGAAAACTTAAACACAGCTTGTAGGAATAATTGTTGGTCTCCAGATTTGACAATATACCTGAAAACTTAACTGAAATAGACTGAACTGTCAAGAGAGTTTGACAGGAATAATGTTAATAATGTCACCTGCTCAAAACTATGCCTCTCCAATTACCATCATCTATTGAAAATACAGACAAGTTTAGTGTACTGTGTTAGGTATGCCACCAAAAAAATCAGTATTCAACGGTGAAAAAAATATAATCATTTAAAGATAAAAATCTTAAAACAGGCTGCAAGTACAATCGAACTGCCAATGGAGCAATAACAATTCTGAAAAACATTGGAGAAAACACTACCAATTGTATCCCTTCCTTGTACCCAAAAATTAAATTAAATTTGCAAAATTACCTCCAATCCAACTTCTCAACCAAAAAGGCACAGATAAGAAAACCAGTTCGATTAAACCCATGTGTACAATGAACACCTGGAAAACAAAAACAAAACAAAACTAAATGTATGGAGACAATTTTTCAAATGAGTAACATGCAGCTGTTTTTATTACAAACAATGTCAACAGGTGACATTTTTGGCTCATTCCATTAAATTATCACCATTAAGGAGATACTCTCACTGAAGAAACTCAGAACTTCTATGGGCAGTGTAAAAGCCAAAAAGATATTTAAATTCTATGTGCTAATTCCCACAAATAATTGTCTGAATCTTCAATTTGTCACAATACAAAAGCCCATTAGCACTATTTTTATTAGTGTTGAAATCTGAATAAAACCAGAAAGTACCTGAATGCTTTCTGATCTGCATTATTAGGAGTCATAACAGACCATGTAACCAATGTAGCAATTATTAATTTAGAAAATTAAGTTGGGGTTATATTTATATTGTTCAGAATAAAAATCAAGCCAAAATTAGACTGCTTTAAACTTAATATCCTCTCTCTCTCTCTCTCATTTCAAAATGGTTAATTAGTGCTTATTTAATTTTAATATTGAAAGAAATCCCAAAACAACATTCAATAAAGACAATCAATCATTTAAACTACGTGCCTTTTTAGTTTAAAGAGAAAAAATGTTACAGTTTATTACATTTATTTTTGAGCCTTTATTTTACTGAATTTCTCTCAGGGAGGGGGAGAGCATAAAAGCAATTGCTTCTAATTTTCCATTTTTCCTATGTTACCAACTCCATCTAGTGGTAGATAAATAAAAACAAAAGGCCATGTCTTGCTGTTACAATCATTCATTCAAGAAATATCTTGCTCAAAATTATCTTGCACCCCTTTTAATATTAAATTGACAGGGGTCAAACTATTAATTTATATATTAGTATCATGCAAAATTATTATGGTTATTTTTAGAGCTATCAATCAACATGTGTTAATGCCTGCAATTAATGCACTCCAGGATTAATGCGTTAAATTTTGTTAATGCATTAATTGCAGGCGTTAATGCTGCGCTGCCCCTTTGAAGTGCTGCTGTGGTGTTTCAAAAGGGGCAGCACAATGCGGAGCCTGGGATCAGCTGGAGACGCCCCAGCAGACCCCAGGCTCCACTACCCCTTTGAAATGCACAGAGGCAGTGTTTCAAAGGAGCAGCCGCCTCACAGCTGAGTTGGGGATTTCCCCAGAACCCCACAGCATTTCCCCATAGCTGTGCAACATTTCCCCAGAACCCAGGGTCAGCTGGAGAGTCCTCAGCTGACGCCAGGTTCCACTGCCGTGCAGAGCCCAGAATCAGCTGGGCAGTCTACAGCTGACCCCCGTCTCTCCGGCAGCTGCCCCTTTGAAACACCAGAGATGGTGTTTTAAAGGAGCAGCCATGGAGCCCGGCGTCAGGTAGGAACTCCCAGCTGATCCTGTGGTGGCAGTGGAATCCAGGGTCAGCTGAGCACTGCAGCTGATCCTGGTCTCCGTGTTGCGCTGCCCCTTTGATGCGCCACTAAAGCAGAAAAATATCATCTGAGTTAATAGCATTTACATCAATTTCTGTATTTATCAATCATATTCAAAGAAGTTAAAAGCTCAGTAGAGATTCTCTCTTGGGTCTATGTGATCAGATTATGAGCAATTGTTTTGATTTTCTTCTATCAACGTAAACAAAGTGAATGGTAAATTCCAGAATATGGGATTAAAAAATATGCAGTTTTGTCCTCCCTCCTCCACACCAAAAGCAAAATTGTTACCAATGGTCAAAAATGGGAATAACTTGAGCCCCCTTCTTGCAGACATGTATCAAGCCAGGTCAGGCACCTTTCTTCCTCAACCTGATTAAAAGATATATTTTCTTCATATACAGGAAATTAAGATTATTAAGAATGTGTTCTCTGAAAAAACAAACGTCTCAATAATTAACAGCTAGCCTGGCTTGTTTGTATTTCTTCCTATTTGTTTAACTAAGCCTGGTTTATCTCAAAACTTGCTTCATAGTACAACGAATTTCAGTTCCTGTAAACACATTTTTTTCTCTCCATTGCCTTCTACTAAGGCACAGTCTTTTTCCTCACTGTTAGTAGGACTTGCAATCAAGTTTCCAATCAGTTTTTATCTAGTTTAGGTAGGAAGTCTCACAAAGAGTGCCATTCAAACTGGCCACTTTGTATTCCTGGCCTACTGATGATGAAAGTTAAACTTTCTTAACTTGCACTCAGTTTGTAGCAATGGGACATGCAATGACTATTAGTATCAAAAAGTCAAAGGTCTAGCGATTTTTATGCATATGGCAATAAAAGAAGCATGTTGGCAATGCAAACAAAGAATGAGAATTTGATGTCATGCATCTTTCCCAGTCATCACCGTTTCTGTCATTTTCTACGTACATACAACCTCCAGTTTCCCCAATTAGTCTGGTGTTTCCTTAGAGCAGTGTTTCCCAAATGGTGGTCAGCGGAACCCTGAGGTTCCATGAAGTGGAACTCGGCGTTCTGTGAAAAAATTCTGCTCCCCCGACCCCTGAAGAACCCATAGGCAGCTCCCACTGGGGCTCTGCCGGCGAGGACGGGCTTCGGCCGCTCCACCACCCACTGCAGCTACCCCAACCTGCACATGGCACGGCCCCTCCTCACCCTGCAGGACTGCCCTGTCCCGGTGCTTTGCAGTCACCTCCTCCTTGTGTGCAGGCGGCAGGTTTTACAGTTGCGGCAGCTGCTGCTGGGAGAGGGAGGAGGAGGGGTGGCCAGAGCTGAGGAGCCGCTCTTGGATCTGGGCGTTTTTAAACTGCTGCCTGCAGGGAACCCGGCTCAGGCTCTGTTGCCCCCCCTGCATGGAACCCTGCTGGGGCTCTCCTGCCCCCCCTCGGGGCGTGCTCAGGCTCGCTGCCCCCCATGTGCTGTTGCTCTCTCTCCCCTGTGCCCCTCCCCAGCCTGCTGTCGAAGTGGCAGAGTTTGATCTGGCAGGGAAGGTCTAGGTTTCTACACCCCGCTCCCCGCCCTGCCAGCGGGAAGCCTGATCTGATGCTGCAGCTATGCTAGGTTCCCCACTGCATGAGTGGGGGAGGAAAGGGGGACTGAGCTCCCTCCCTTCTCCTCCAGGAACAAGAGCATGCTGCCTGGAGGTTTTCCCTCTTGCAGCAGGGTGCCAAGCCAGGTAAGCATCCCCCCCCCTTCATGCCCAGACCCCACATGCATATCCTCCTCATTCCCTCCACCCCACCAAGAGCCCACATTCCCAGCTTGCTCTGACACCCTGCCCCAAATCCCCTCTTGTACCCTCCGTCCTGGACAGGCACCCTGCCCCAAGACCCCTTTTGTATTCTCCCTCCTGGCCAGGCACCCTGCCCCAAGACCCTCATGTACCCTGCCTCCTGGCCTGACACCCTGCTCCAAGACCCCCTCCTGTATCCTCCCTCCTGGCCAGGATATTGCAGATCATTTTTGTGATTTATACACGAACATCATGAAGTATTTTCCAACCATAAATGACAATAACTGGATTTGAAATCCATTAAGTATAACAGGAAAGCCAGTCAGTTTTTCTATGTAAGATTATGAAAAATCACTTCAGATGGCCAATTAATACAAAAATTTAAAGAAGTTTCTCTGATTATGTTTTGGGGAGGCTTATGTCAAGAATATTCAGCTTTATCAAGATGTGCAATTCGTCAGTTGTTAACCTTCACCAGCACATACTTGTGTGAAACTGGGTTCTCAAATAATGCAGAAACAAAAACAAAATACAGAAATCGACTGAATGTAGCGCCAGATATGCAAATCCAACTTTTTAGTATTAAACAAAATAAAAAGAATTTGCCAAGAAGAAAAACCACTCTTCACATTTAAAACTGCCAATATAATTCATATTAGTTTTTGAGCTTTTTTTTTGTACAAATTAAATGTGATTTTTGTTTTTAAATATGTGCAATTATACTAAATGTTGATCTCATGACCTTATTTAGCATTTGTTCATTATTATTATCCTTACTTATTTGTGGTCTACTTTTTCAGCTCCATATACCAGCCTGTCTTCCGGGGTGGGGGAAGTGCGGTGTGTCGTGAAGCTCAAGTCCGGAGGCTTTTTTTTTTTTTTTCTTTCCCCCTCCTTCCCCCCGACATATTTTCCTTAGGGGTTCCTCAAAATTCTTCAAGTTTAAAAGGGTTCCGTGGCCAAATAAAATTGGGAAACACTGCCTTAGAGGGACTTCATTCCCAGGCTTCAAGGTACTTACATAGCTGATGGGAGAACATTATGAATTCTCAAAATTAGATTTTTATGACTAAAAACTAAACCATCATTTACTTTAAAATTAACACTAAAAAGAAGGAAAAACAATTTTAAGAATGGAACTGAGTAAAATATGAGTGTGTTAGGAAAAGTTTCTGATCAGCAACAAACATTTGAATCATGTAATGACCAGCAAAGTATGTTTGCAGTATGAAATTGTCTTCCTGGGGAAACAGTACTGGTCCACTGCTCAAGTAAAGCAAACTAAATGCAAGAATCTAGTGTAGACTAGCGTTCCCGCTAACATTTTCTGTCCTTGGACGAGCTGAATGTTCTTTTGTGCAACACCATTATTGAGGTAGTATGTGGATGTGCACCACCAATACAAACAAAACACACATACATATATTTTAGCAGTCCGTATGAATGAAAGAATATATTAAAACAAGACATCTGTGTCTAGATGCTGTGAGGTACCCTTAGTTACTACAAAAGTGCTGGTAGGGAAATAGCATTCTTCCACTCAAGGAAGAGTATAAGCCACAGAACAAATTAACACATGGCTTCAGATTTCAAAGAGCTTGCAAATAAGATTTCACCCTACAAAGCTAGCGTCACATCTAGTACTTGCTGCTTCTGACTCATAAGAGCCAGAACTTTACCTCTCGGGGGTAGGAAACTCTGGCTTCCCCCCTCCCCCCCTCCCAGCCACCAGGGAGGGCCGGGCT